CATACATACACACACATACATACATATGTATATAAATATACATACATACATGTACACATAAAAAAATTAAAGAAACATAGGTAGAAGCAAAATTTTGAATAATAAAAATGGGGATATGCAAGGTAAGAGAAAATCAGGTAAGATTAAGCAGGAATTATTGGTGAGGATTTGAAATAGAATGCTTAAAATATGAAAGTGTCATAGATTTAAAGTTGGTTTTAATATCATCCGGGAGTTTATTCCATAATTTAGTAGAACGGTAAACAAAAGTTCTTTTACCTTGCATATTATTCCAGGTGTATTCAATAAGAGTGTTTTGTACAATGCGTATGCAAATCATAATTAAAAGCAAAATTCTTAGATAAACAGGATGGAGCATGACCATTTAAACATTTGAAAATCATTATGAGCAATTGTTCGTCCAATTTATCACTAAGTTTACTCCACCCTAATGAACTTAAAATATTTACAACAGGGGTTTTTATGTCAGCAGAAATTAAAATTCTTCCTAATCTGTTTAAAAGTATTTGAAGAGAATTTGAAAGGGTAATATTACAGTTTGCATTAGTTCCAAAAATCATAAGTTTAGTTTTCTTAATATTTAATGTAAGTTTATTTTTATTAAACCATTCAGCAACTTTAATTAAATTTGAATTCAGTTCATTTTGGAGAAGAGTGGGATCTGAAGAACTGCATAAGATGGTAGTATCGTCGGCATACATTACACATTTACATTGAGTGACATTTGGTAGGGAATTAACATAAATAATAAATAACAATGGGCCTAAAATTGACCCTTGGGGAATACCAATGTTAATTTTCATTGGATCAGATTGGGTTGAATTAATTTGAACAATTTGAGACCTATTATTTAAATAAGAAATGAACCAATTTAGGGCAGGTTCTTGAATACCATAGTCATTAAGTTTTGATATGAGGAGTTTGTGATCAATTGTGTCAAAGGCCTTTTTTAAATCAATAAAGATGGCTGCAGTTGCTTTGCCTTCATTAAAATTATTGAGAATATAATCAGACACATCAATGAGGGTAGTACTTGTTGAATGGTTTTTCCTAAAGCCAGATTGTGATTCATTCAAAATATTAACTCTTGTCAAATAATCATATAATTGTTGGTGTACAGCTCGTTCAATGATCTTAGTTACTATTGGTAGGATGGATATAGGTCTGTAATTATTAGACGTTTCGATAGTCTTGCTTCTCAAAGGACAAATTCATTATAACAGATATTTTTGCGAAC